GAATAATTTTATATCGGTAAAACTTTCACTGTGTAATTTTTTATATTTTATAGATATTAAAATTATGAATGTTGAGTATTTATTTGAGATTTTTTCACTGGGTGATTTTAAAAATACAGTAATTTCTTCCTACTAAGAAATTTATTTTGACTTCTAAAGTTGTGATTTAATTCAACTAAATCTTTAGAATGTTATTTTATATAATATTTGGCTATTTGGCTATTTGGTTAAATTCTAAAAATGTAAATTTTTGCTCATTTTGACTTTTGTTGTCTATGGTTAGGAGATTTTGATATTTTTTGAATTAAGCTCAATAATGCATTATTGCTGCAATGCATTGAAAATGAAGGTAGATTTGTGATTGAGACTATTATTATAGTACGGTGATAACAAAGTGTTTGTAAAGGATAAGTAAAAACTTGTTGACCCATTGGCTGGAGACTGATTGATCTTTACATAATGGTGGGCTGACTAACTTTTGTTTAAATACTATGATTTGGTCTAATCTTCTATTGATTGGGAGTTATAAGGAGATGATTACTATGCCGATGGGCAAAGAGTGCGACTTTATTGACTAAGCCAACGATTTACTAATATTGATACTAATATAATACTGAAAAATACTGTACAACAACAACAACAACATCAAGCCTTTATCCCACTATGTGGGGTCGGCTACATGAATCCTTTTTCTCCATTGTGTTCTATTAAAAGTCAAATTCTTGTTTAAATCTAATAAAGAAAGGTCATTCCTAATATTTTCTAACCAAGTCTTTTTAGGTCTACCCCTACCTTTCTTAATATAAGTCAAATCTAATACCTCTACTCTCCTAACCGGGTCATCGAAAGGCCGTCGTTTTATGTGGCCAAACCATCTAAGGCGACTCTCTCTAATTTTATCTTCTACTGGAGCTACTCCAACCTTTTCACGTATATGCTCATTTCGTATCTTATCTCTAAGGGTAAAGCCACTCATCCACCTGAGCATCCTCATCTCTGCCACACTTAACTTATTATTATGCTTCTCTTTTAATGGCCAACATTCGGCACCATAAAGCATTGCAGGCCTCACTACCATCTTATAGAATTTTCCCTTAAGTTTGAGGGGTACATTTCTATCACATAACAAGCCCGATGCATTCCTCCACTTCAACCATCCAACTTGAATTCTGCTGATAATATCCCCATCTATTTCACCATCACTCTGAACAATAGATCCAAGATATCTAAAACGTGTACTCTTATTAATGACTTGATCGCCCAAAGTCACAATCCCCTCACTAGGACTATTACTGCTAAAATTACACTCCATATATTCCGTTTTAGATCTACTCAAGCGAAAACCTTTAGACTCTAAGGTTGACCTCCATAATTCAAGTTTACCTTCAACTCCCTCTCTAGTCTTATCAACAAGAAGAATATCATCAGCAAAAAGCATACACCAAGGTACATCATCTTGCAAATGTCTAGTGAGAACATCCATGACTAAAGCAAATAGATATGGGCTTAAGGCTGATCCTTGATGTAACCCAACCGAAATAGGGAAATACTTGGTCAATCCACCTTGTGTTTGAACACAAGTAATAGCTCCTGCATACATATCTTTAATGATTTGAATATAAGCATTATTGACTCCTTTCTTATCAAGAACTCTCCATAGCACTTCTCTTGGAACTTTATCATATGCTTTTTCTAAATCAATAAATATCATATGTAGATCCTCCTTATTTCCTCTATATTTTTCCATCAAACCTCTGAATAAATGTATGGCTTCCATAGTCGACCTACCCGGCATGAATCCAAATTGATTTTGAGAAACATTAGTATCACGCCGCAACCTATGCTCTATAACTCGCTCCCATAATTTTAAAGTATGACACATTAACTTAATACCTCTATAATTCGTGCAATCCTGTGCATCGCCTTTATTCTTAAAAATAGGAATTAATACACTCATTCTCCACTCATCTGGCATCTTTTTAGTCTTCAAAATAGTATTAAAAAGTTTAGTAAGCCAAGAAATCCCTTCATCTCCTAAGCATTTCCACACCTCTATTGGAATATCATCAGGTCCAACAGCTTTTCCACCCTTCATTCTATTTAAAGCCTCTCTAACTTCAGTTTTACTAATACGCCGATAAAAACAGAAATCTTTACTTTCATTTAGGGTGCTAAGGTCACTATAGTCAATCTTATTTTCACACTCTTCATTAAAAAGTTTAGCAAAATATCTCATCCACCTTTGTTGAATATCATCTTCTAAGAAAAGTATTTTTTGATCTTCATCCTTAATACACTTCACTTGAACTAAATCCTTACTACTCCTATCTCTTTGTTTGGCTAACTTATACATATATCTTTCTCCCTCCTTAGTATTTAATCTATTATATAAATCGCTAAAAGCTAATGTCTTTGCATCGCATATTGCTTTCTTAGAATCCTTACGAGCCACTTTATATAATTCCCAATTATCAGAATTTTTAAAATTAAACCAATTTTTATAACAAATCTTCTTATTTTTAATCTTTTCTTGCACAATTGGATTCCACCACCAACTATTTTTACTATTAGGAGCTTTTCCCTTAGATACTCCAAGCACATCTTTTGCAATATTCTTAATATCACTAGCCACTTTTTCCCACATAACATTAGCATCCTCATGCACAGACAAAATCTTAAGATCTAAAATCTTACTCACAAAAATATTTTGGTTAATATTCTTTAAATGCCCCCATCTAATCCTTGAAAAACGTTTTACTTTATTTTTTATTTTATGCCCCTTTATCTTAAAGTCCACAACTAATAATCGATGTTGGGTACATAAACTTTCACTCGGAATAACTTTACAATCTTTGCAATCTAAACGGTTTAATTTTCTAATAAGAAAATAGTCAATCTGGGTTGTACTACATCCATTTTTATAAGTGATGAGATGCTCATTCCTTTTCTTAAATAAGGTATTAGCAATTGAAAAATCATAAGCTAAACAAAAATCTAATATGGTCTTGCCACCTTTATTCGTCGTTCCAAATCCATGGCCACCATGAATGCTTTTAAAATCAACTACCTCTTTACCAACATGTCCATTTAAATCTCCTCCAATAAAAACTCTTTCTTCAAGAGGTATATTTTGTATTAATTCTTCTAAGTCATTCCAAAAATTTAATTTAGAACTTATATCCAAACCTACCTGAGGAGCATAAGCACTTATAATAATAACAATCTTATCCTCAACAACAATCTTTAAAGCTATAATTCTATCACCAATCCTATTAATTTTTATAACATTATCCTTTAAACTCTTATCTATAATGACACCTACACCATTAATAACTCAGAATAGGAAGAGAGAAATCTTCTCAGTCTAAATCAGTTTTGCACACTTGCAGATAGAAAGAGAATCAACAAGAAAAAATAAATAACAAGAATGATTGAAGCATTAACTAAATATTGCAGATAAAGGAGATTTGTTATTCTTACAAACCAAACAGGCTGATGCCTTGGGTCAATTGCAGATGCTCTTCTGAATAATACACGGGCAAGATTAGCAGATGAATGCTTGTACTCGAGAAGAGCAAGCGACTGAAGGAGCACAGGATCCCTGGGGTTTAGAGCATGCCCAATCTTAAGAAGTTTCCTTCCTTTTTCAACGTTAGCTTGATTAGCCTCAAATAATGCCCATACATGCCAGGCAAACCTATTTTTTGGACTCGATTGAACTGCTTTCTGCATCAGAAGTTACCAAAGCATATAACGGGATTACAGCAAGATGCATGTTTTTGAAAAATGTTATTCTCATAAAATCATGCAATCAGAATGAGAAGACAACGAAAAGCAATTCCTTCATATTATCTGTGGAAGTTTATGACATCTAAAAAATTTTCTAAATTCCAATAACAAAAAACCTAACCTTCTACAACATTCTTAAGGAGAAATAAAAGAAAAGAAACAAAAAAGTGGGCATCAACATTCTTATTATTTAAGGAGAAATAAAACAACTTCAGTTGTTGATACAAAGGCTTGTATCATTTGGCGATAGTTTGTTTCAATATAATTTGGAAAATGCTTGGAATTGAGTTTCTGAGACAAGTTATATTCAAGTGAGTTTTACAGATTTTTATTTGTTATGTCAACGCTCCATTCGAAGTTGTTTTTTTTTTTTACTTTATTTTCATTATTTTTATTCCACCCACATATTAATTTTATCTTTATTCAATCATCAATAAAAGTAAAAAATTAAATTCTAACTAATCATCCAAAAGATTATATATTATTTTGTTATTATTACATGTAAAACGTAAAATCGAATGTACCTTCCAAGCACTCAAAATTGAAGCTCGCCTCTCCCCTTTAGGAAGGTAGAGTTTAAAAATAGAAGCTCACTTGCATTCACTTTGTGTAAAAAAAAAAAAAAGCTTAAATTACAATCACATCCAACCAGTTATCTCAAAATAAATTAGCCCTAAGTGGAAAATGGCATCAAGTATTAGCAATGACACATCAAAAGTCTGACAATATGACAGTTCACATACACAAGGAAATAGGAATAGGAACCAAATCAACTGGAAGAGATAGAAGTAATTACATTTATAAGAGCAGATAACCAAAAACAACGTTATATTGTGATAACATTGACCCCCAAACATACAGGTGAAAGTTCCTTAATAGAATTCTAAAATGCCATAATGCAGCCTCTGAGAGTTTACGAATACTATCAACACTAGTATAAGGGATTGAGTTCCTTGTTATAGCTCCATACAGGTTAAAGTAACAACTGCTCAAGATAAAGAATGACCATGCTAAAGTTTCATACAAGTAATAACTTCTCAAGAGAAACTACCTATCAGGCACATGATCCAGGTATGAAAGTAGAGATGAAAATTTAGTTAACCATGACAGACTAGGAGTAAAAAATAGCATCTATTTTATCAATCCTGATTACCATATATCATATAGAAATTGGCAGCAGTATGCCCAGCAATAAACGGAATAAGCTGAACAAGGTCTAGCTTGGAAAAACCAATACAGATATGACGCTTTCCAAGAGGACATTAAGGGGGAGTGCTTACACAACTTCCATGTTTTAAAATGCTTCCCCTTCTTTTCCACTTGGGAACAGCTTCACTTGTCTCATAAATTTGATCCCCTAGCATAAATTACAATAATAATCTACCTATATCATGAACCATTTGTTAAATTTTTAAATCCCTTTTAATATTAGAGAGTGAACCAAAGGGAAAACAAGTTGGGTTAAATAAACCAACAGTCAAAAATATTTTCAACCAACAGTTTAAGCCTACAAGGGAGAGCTAACAACTTGCTACTTCTACACTAACGTATTTTTAAACAACCAGATGTCAAATTAAATCCAAGTTTCTTATACCTAATAATCCCTCCCTCACATAAGAGCTTGTCACACTGGCCATCACTTCCCTACAATAGAACTTTATATATTACTATACACCAAGAGCCCACCTAACCACATGAAAGTGTTGTGAGACTCACGACAATCTCAAACTTGCTCGACTATGGTGGAATGGGGGCAAAGACCCTAAATATCTAAAAACCTCGTGATCCACTAGATCCTAGCAAAACCTGTTCATATGCATAAATAATTTCCCCACAAACATTGATTGCAAAGTCAATGCATAATAGGTGGAAGAATCGTACTCAAGTTTAAAGAGGAATAAGAGACAGAAAGAGGAATCAATACAAGTTAGGTAAAAGCGATGAAATTATTTAAGGTTAAATACTTATATTTTTGTCTCTGAACAAAAGGACATTTATGACTTTGTGCAGTCATGAACGTACATGTATCTCACCAAACCACATTAACTCTATTGTACTCTCTTACTAGTTTTCTCCTTTCAAATTACTTTTCTCATTATCGTAATTACCATTGCTCTTGGACGCATAATTTTCCCAAATAAAAAATAATTCTACTTGTTTGTGGGTTAACTAAAAAGGAATCAAAGTTCTGGCATATGGACTAATAGTCAAATATATTTTCAACACAAAAGTTTTAGCCTATAGATGATAAGGAAATGTCAACACCTATGTATTTTTCAACTATCAAATGTAAGACTAAATCAAAAGCTTTTTGATCCTTGGCATTCAATTCCATTTAATATTTGACAAGAAGAGCATAGCATCAACTTGGAATTACAAAGCCATCCGCATTGTTATGAAACGAAAAAAAAAAAAACTTGAAAAGTGTCTATGGAATTGATGCTATGTAAACCAAAAATTTGCACCCAGCTCTACTAAGAAATTTTAGAATTTTGGATCGCATTTTTAAAATACAAATTAGATTGCATATAAGATAATATCCAGAGATTCATTCTCATTTTGTAAGGACTTTATAATTTTGTTTTAAGTTTCTCATAGGCGCAAGCCCCAATATTTAATTACCTATTCCGATGACAAGAGAGAACTTTCCATTAAAATTAGTATTTGACACTAAGGACTTAGTGTATAGCAGCAGCAATTTTGATTTTTGTGTTGAGAAACTTTACCATATTTAGTTTAAATTGGATGGTGATTAAGTGATGATAAAGCTGATAAAAATCTCATCATTGTCTCATCCTGGGCCCTCGACTATTTAGTCAGAAGAGATAGTTGAACCAACCTGACTAAAGATTCTTATTGGCAGCTATGGGTTATATCATTCAAGGAGGCCTTAAATACATGGGGTGGATGTTTGTCTGAGGAGATGATCTAAGTTGAACTTAGCAAATAGAAGGTTATGTGCCCTATCAACTGCCACTATAGGAAAATCATGTTTTATCGATGGCAAATGATCATTTTCCAGCAGTTTTGTAAATTTTCGACAGCTTTCCTCCGGTAAAACATGCATAGGAAAAATATTTTCCACTGGTAATTGATGATTTTCCTGTAGCATGCATTCCATGATCCATTAATCAAGAGTTTCAAGGTCATAGGAGAACTTACCAGCTCTAGTTTTGGACATAACTTAACGGTAAAGTTTCGTGATGGAAATGCCCAATCATATGATTTCGATCAAAATAATTTACATGTGGTGTCATTTTGAGTTTATTTAGAGAAGCTGCAATATTTATAAAGGTGGTTATGAAGCTATTATGGGAAAATTAACTTATGTGAAAGTTGTTATAGATATTATAAATATATTTTATTTTAAAAATCAAACTATTTTCTTAAAGCTGTCACACGTTAGCAACTCTGGCTATAAAAAATAGCTTCCCAACACCGAAATTTATAGAAATGAGCAAAAATGCAACAAAAAGATAGTACTCAAATAATTTTTGTAATTGTAGTCTGAAAAACAAAGCAATATGAAAGTTATCCCTAATAGACCCTTAGCAGGAAAAACCACCAATTACATGATGCGTGTCATATCCTTATTGTTAAGAGGCTATTTTACAGTGAATAGCGATACAATTGATAAGACATGGGCACCTTATAAGCTGAGATTATTCATAAATTTGTTTCCCTCAACAAACAGTTATAGATGGTGAATTGTTATTACTTTAAGTTGTAAAGGGTAAATTTTAATTGTGCATTTTACATTTTTACAATTTAAGAGATTTATAATTTTTTAGATTAAAGGCCAAAATAATATGTGTTAGAAATTGGGAGCATTCTGATCATAAAATTCAATTCTAACTGAGATTCAACATGGCCACCTTTGGAGTTTTAAACTCTTTCATTTTATTGCTTTTGATCTTGTCAAGGCTAGTAGCTTGCTTGAAGAGGGTCAAATATGTGAATAATACATACAATTGCATTTGAACGACAAAACATATTTACAAGCATATGGATCAAATATTTGACTAAAACATTGCTCGATTAAAAAATTCCTTCTCAATAGTGTTGTGATAATTTATTGAAAGTTAAAAATCTTGTCAAACTCCAATCTTACGAACATGGAGGATCTTACTTCAAAAGTAAAACTTATGACCCTATCCTATAAGTAGGGAGCCCACTTGAGAGCATGCTTTAGCTTTGATGAGTTTCGATTTACCTTTTAAAAAGAGTTTGAATTTCTCAAAATAATTGCAAAATTTTCAAAATATTTGTACGCTTCTTGGAGCGAAAAAAATTTAAATATATTATTACTTGCAGTCCGCACGGCATTCTCACACTGTGTTCAAGCATTGAGTATATTTGTCGGAACATATGCTGATGAGTCAGAGTATGTAAATTTTAAAATGATGATAGACCATATAAACAATAACATATTTTTTGGAGCGGGAGAAATTTGAATTCAGTTATATTTATCCCACTTATCATTTGGATTTCCAAACTTAGACATCAAAACATTTATTAGAGGACATGCGAATAAATCTTTTTGATGATTTGATATTTCGCACAAGCTTTTTGATATATTTATAAAACGCAATTACACATTTCATGATGCACTTGTACACTTTTTCACACACATAAAATGTACACTTGCATGTTTTTTTGTAAATTTACACAATATATTTGCATATTTTTTGTATTTCTATATTTTTCAATGCATTTGCATGGTACACTTACATAAGTTTCAATGCATTTGCACCATGTGCTTGAACATTTTTTAAATGTGCCTACACAATGAAATTGTATGCTTTTCATAACATTTAAAGTGTACTTGCACACCTTTTAATGCACTTTCTCATTTAAGGTGAATTTGAATAGTTCATTTGCCTGTTTATTTGGTACATTTGTACTTTTTACTATTTTTTTTTCCTACATGATGCACT